AGTTAACTAGAGTTAAACTGTAGTTAACTAGAGTTACACTGGAGTTAACTAGAGTTAAACTGTGGTTAACTAGAGTTACACTGGAGTTAACTAGAGTTAAACTGGAGTTAACTAGAGTTACACTGGAGTTAACTAGAGTTACACTGTAGTTAACTGTAGTTACACTGTAGTTAACTAGAGTTAAACTGTAGTTAACTGTAGTTACACTGTAGTTAACTAGAGTTAAACTGTAGTTACACTGTGGTTAACTGTAGTTACACTGTGGTTAACTAGAGTTAAACTGTAGTTAACTAGAGTTAAACTGTAGTTAACTAGAGTTACACTGTGGTTAACTGTAGTTACACTGTAGTTAACTAGAGTTAAACTGTAGTTAGGGTTAGAGATGTGTCTTCCGCTCCTCACAGTGGTTTGTTGTTGATGTAAATAAGAGTAACTGCAGCGCAGACAGACGTCCTGCGTGAACCGACCATGTGCTGCTGTCTCAGGGTTACACTGATGAGCCCATCACAAAGATCCTGTCACATGTCGAGGATGGAGACGTGGTGCATCTGGACCGCTGGAACCTGAAGGTGGAGGCAAACCCCGACGCTCGACCCGAGGAGCGAGACGGGCATCAGACCGACAGAGTCAGTTTGAACGGACGCAGATTTCTGCTCAGATTTTCTGAACCTGGTCATTTCCAACTTTCTGATCCTTCACATTCCTTCTCAGCTTCCTATTGACGTCTTCAACAACTACTTCAGTCTGGGCTTCGACGCTCACGTCACACTGGGCTTCCATGAATCCAGAGGTCGGTTCACTCACACACGTTGTTTCCTGATCTTCATGTATTTGTGTTCTTGCATCATGATTAAAACTCACTAAGACGACCGACTGCAGGAACATGTTGCTCAATGTCACTGGATGGATGCTGTGCTGCCCACCAACGCTCAGTGGCTGTGGGACATATGTCCTGTCTTCTCAGTTTGTGGATCAGGACTCGTTCACACCTGGTTTGGTTCAAACCTTCAGACTCGTCAGTTCAGTCTGAAGCTAAACATCAGGTGTGAACGGTTCCTCAGACCAGAAGAGGAGTTCTGGGTCTGGATCAAACTGAACCTGGTTCTGTTGGTTCACAGTGAAAACACTTTGTTGGACAGTTTGGACTTTTGGACCAGTCACAGGAAGTAGAGACACATTAAACCATAGAAGAAGTAGAGTCCTCAGTTCTCTTGATACATTGGTTGGAGACGTGAACAGGCTGTGGTGAATTTCTGTGAACCAGTTTGGTTTGGTTCTTCTTGTGTGTTTAAAGTCGAACTGGTTGAACAGGTTGAATGTTTCTGTGTTGTAGAGGCGAATCCAGAGAAGTTTAACAGCCGCTTTAGGAACAAGATGTTCTATGCAGGGGTGAGTGTCCTCTGATCTGTCTGTCTGATCCACACACTTGATCCACTACATTTGTGTAATGTGTGTGTGTTGGTGTGTGTTACAGACGGCATTCTCAGACTTCCTGAGTGGGACTTCGAAGGACCTCGCTAAGCACATCAGTGTGGTGGTGAGTGGAGCTGACGATGATAACACTAACGTCATGTTTCCTCATGATTGACAGCTGAGACTGACTCACGATTGATCAGGTAGCGTGTATGGGCGGGACCTCTGTAAACTGCAGACAACATCATCACCTCAAGATGGCAGCGTTCATATCTGAGATATTTCAGTTTCCTTTTTGTACAACATAAGGAAGTGGAGAGAAGTCATCCTCTATATGTACAGTAAATGATTGTCTTTATGGTCAGGGTTAGGTTAGGGTTGTATAGGTTTTCTTTCCTTTCAATTAACTCAATTAACCCTTACAGATCTATTTAGAATGTATAAATAGCCTATCTGACATTAATAAATGGATGATTAATCA